GGTGAGAAATCATTTGAAAGAGGAGAAAACCATCTGTCATTCATATTATGCAGAGGTGTCTCTCCACTCACTGACTCAGCAAAACTATTGCTTTTACTGTTGACTGAGATCCTGGAAACCATGAAGGTGTTCTGGGAGTTGAACTTCCTTTGAAGTAAAATTCCTACATGATGTCTGTGGAAGAGCATCTTTGGGTCACCTTTGCTGCTAGACATTGCTCTGTATTTGGCTTTGAGCAACCTGATCTAGCAGCAGGTATCCTGCCCATGGCAGAGGGGTTGGAACTAGATGATCTTTAAGGTCTCTTCTAACCCAAACTATTCTATGATTCCAATATAAAGCAAAGTCAAATCTGAACACCACAATTCTCTTCTAGTGAGGGGGACTAGCACCCACAACAGGTCCATGGGAATGACAGAAAGGAGATGGAGAAGATCAGGAGAGGCAATTGAGTTCATTCTCCAACCCCAATGAGACACCAACAAGATGCTGAGGACAGTATTTTTCTATCATGCTTTGATGCATCTTAATGATGATGATCAAGCTGCTGATGCTGGAGGCATTTCTCCCAGCAACAGACTCCAACTCTTCACTATCTATTAGATGCTAGGAAATGGTTTTGATACTATCTAAATGCTCCTTTGCTGCCATGTGAAACCTAAAGCAAAAAGTAGGGAGAATGGAACAACCCAGGCCTTTCTTTTGGAGAAGAAACTGGAAGGATCTCATCCCACCATATTCCATTTACACTTCCCAGTGCAACGTGTAAGACTTTTCAATGGACTGTGGAGTTCCCACAAGGCTGCCTTCTTTTTCATTATTTTTTCCCTAAGTTGGACACATGTTAAACTTGTGATCTTTTATAACCCACCACAACTTCTTTTTCTGCCAGTTTACTGTAAGAGGGATTTCCTCATCCTCTACTTGTGCAGATGACGGGTCCACACTAACTGTAGAGCTTTGTGCTTGTCATTCCTAAATTGCACCCTATTTCTCAGACTGTCGCTTAGATTTATCAGAGTCACACAGAATTCTCCTATTTGCAGATTCTCCCAGTTTGTCACCTGCAAGCTCAATGAACTTATTTTCTAATGAATTATTCAAACCAGTAATTAAAATATTGCGTCATACCAGGGCCAAGGCAAGCCACAGAGGACCCTGTTTAATAGATCGTTCCAGTTTGACAGCAAACTGTTGACAGCTATTTGCTGATGATTTTAGACAGACTGTGTTTTCTTAGTTTACTTATGAGACTGTCATGTGATAAGGTGACAAAAGCTTTAATAAGACTAAGCTATGTGACAGGTACCACTTTTACCCTAATTATAGATTTTTCCATCTTGTCACAGGTGAGGATAACACCCATCTGTCACATGAAAGCTCTTGCTGTTCATCTCCATCTCCTTGATAGCCCCTACACCTGTGCAAACTGTTTATTTCAGAGGGTTTTTTTCCAAAACTGGGGTCTGGGTTGACTGTTTTATATGTCCCCAAAATTCCCCCCATCCCCTTTATAATGACAGAAGCTGAGTTTGGTGGTATCCAGTCTTCTGAAATACCCAGAGTTCCCTCTTGTGAAGAAACAGGAGCAGGTGAAACAGGCTGGGTTTAGTAGCTGTGATGAATGCTGAAGATTTATTTTCCCAATGCCTCTGTGCCTAGACACCTCTTAGTTTGGCTGATATCCCTTGTTGATGTGCATATTCATATTGAAAACACCACCTTTTGTTTGCTTAGACATGTGCCCTGATTAATTTTAATGTTCTTGCTCTTGATGTGTTCGTTGACTAATCCATGTTAATCTCATGAATATCTGCAGCAGCAAAAATATCCCTGTTACTCTTGTGTTAGATGTGGTTAGTGTCTCCACACCTGTCTTCCCTTTTACTCTGTATGTAATTCAGGCTGGAAGCAAAACCACATCTCCTGGCTCTGGCTGTGCAACTCAAAACTGTTGTGAGATTGCAAAACAATTTCTACACTGAAATGGCACCTCCAAGCATCACCTGGATGTCTTCTCCCACCAAGCACAGCTAAGCCTGGAGAGCACCACCAACCAAACGTCAGCCTGCAGCTTCATTTGAAAAGGCAAATATGACTGATTCTTCCCGTGGAAGAAGAGGAGACTTGGCTGTTTGTGCCTAAAGTCCTGGGCCACAGGAGCCCTAATCCTCTACCTGCACCTTCCTCCATCTCAGGGAAGGCAAGTACCAGTGTGGAAAGGGAGCTGTGACCTTGTCATTAGCCAGACCAACATGTACCTGATTTCTCACACCCAACCAAGAAGGACAGCTTTTCAGTGTCCATCCTCCTTCTTTATTTGAAAGAATTTATTTCCCATTGAGAGCATCAGCTCTGATGAAGTCCATTCATAAATCCTACCCCCATACTCACTTTTCAGAGACCTTCACCTCCTCATTCACAGCTGTGGGCTTTCAGTCCAGGAACCAGGTGGGTGGTGGTATGACAGGCAATGAAACCAGATAATCCTTTTAAACACAGTGAAAACCTTAAGGCACTTCACCTGCAAAGGATTAGTCAGCATAATCCTCATGTGGTCAAGTGCTCTGGCATCCAGAAATTTCAGGAAAAGAAAGAGTTCCTTTAAATTTGTCAACAAGAAGACCTAGGAACCCTTCTATCCATTTTATCTTGTTAGAGGGAACATCTGTTTGGGTGCTATCAGCAGGCAGCACTTAAACTGGTGTGGTGAAGAGGAAGGGAAGAGCTAGGAAGGCAAGAAGGGCCTGCAAGGGATCACGATGTGTGCAGAAAACTGCCAGCAGGACAAAGTCCCTGTAAGCAGAACCAAGCAGCTTTATTTAAAAGTTATCCAGTTGCTGAGGATCCCAGTGCAGAAGTTGAAGTCCACAAAAGAGAGTCCTGAGTGGATGAGGTTTGCTCTCCTTCCTTCACTCTGCCCATCCTGGTCGCCTGCATGCCACCAGCCTCGGTGGACTTGTCTCAAGCCTTGACTTATTCCCTCCTCACCAGCTGGTCTCACCCACCAGATCTTTGCCTTCTCACGTGCAGTGAAATTCGTTGAGATATAAATTGCTTCTTCTACTTCCCCTTTCCTGTGCCAACTTGCCTGCCAGTAAAGACAGTAATGGCTTTGGCTTGGATCCCAACTTTCCTGAAGTTTTTTGAAAGCACTCGAGATATTGCAGGGAAGAAGTGTCTTCCCTCTGTGTGGGATATTCATAGAGTACAAGCTCATGGCATCAGGATGCAACATGACCACCACAGCCCCTACCAGGGCTGCCAGCCCCTGCCCTTAGCACCTGGACATCTCTTTCTCCCTTTTGATTTAGAAAGACTTTCTATTCCCCTTTTTCATCAAAGTTTTCCTTCCCTTTTGTGGTTGTCTTTGGTGAGAGAAAATTAACAGCATGTTCTGCTGGCAAATTCACATTTAGCCCTCTTGACATCTGTCATCCTCAAGCATAGCTCACCCATACGCTCAGATCAATAGGTGTCAGCATCTTCTTGTTCCTGCCCAGCATTGTGATGTCATCTCCTTAATTTGCTTTGTTCCTCTCCTGTACATCAAACAAAACATTTAAACCCAGGCACTGGGCTTCAGAGTTCATGGTACAAATGATGAAGTTGATGAGGCATCTATGGCTGATCATCCTCTTGAGAAACCAATTGCTTTGTAATCCAGGCAGTGTGAAACATCTCAAAAAATGTGCATCCTTCCACATGTGCAACCAAAACACAGCAGACTTCCAAGGCAATGCTTCAGACAAACTGAAGATCTCATTTAGCCATCAAATACAACATCTCATCCAAAAAAACCCCAAAAAACTCTTGAATTGTTTGGATGAGCTCTGGTTTCCCCAGAACACAGCTGAGCTAATGATGCTGCCAACTCTTCCTTTTTTGTTTTGTTTTCCAGAAAAGTGAGCTTTCAGCAGGGGCTATGAGCAAGAAGCTCAGGGCTGTTTGTGTTAGTTTCTGGCTGCCTGCCCTCCTTGTTCTCTGTAGATACTCCCAGGCCTCCTACAGAGCTTTTCTGTCTCCCCTCAGCTGCAGCTTTTGCAGGGAGAGGAGAGAGCAGAGACCCTGGAGTGCAAAACCAAACAAAACCCAGCACAATCAATCATTTCTATGCCAGGAACATAGTTTTGTAGAAACCATCTCACAATCTCTAAATGACTGGAGTTGGGAACAGCTGTCAGGTTGGTTTGACCCTGCAAAAGAAAGAGGGAAATAGGTATGGGGACATCTTCTTTTCCATTTGGATCAGATCCATGAGGAGGCAGTACATGGACAATTCCCAGCACAGTGCTCACCACGCTACCCATCTCCTTCACTCCTCCTTCCCATCTCCTCACTGGTACTCAGCTGCTGCCTTTCCTGTCTCAGCCACATTTGCTCCTCTCTGCTTTTTTTTTTCCCCAAGCTCAGCCAACACATGGGAGCTGGGCCATAAAGGATGCTCATTTCAAAATGTGATACCTCTATGAAAACAAAGAGCCAGAAATTGTTTCCCACTGAGGCTGAAGAAATGTCCAAAATACTCTCAGAAATAAGTTTAACCTTTACTTGCCTGTTTATGAACTGCTTGACTGATGTGTGATAACCAACTTACTGTGAACAGAAGATACTGAACACCCTCTCTGTGCTGACCATAACTATTGAGCTACTACCTGTGTTTCAGGCAGGGTGGGTTGTTCTTCCTCGCAGTGCTTTGAAACTCAAAGAGACAAAAATGTGTCTTCGAGGATCTCTTCAGAGCTGAAAGGATTTGAAGCCCAAACATGTCAAAAGGGCTGTCTTTTATGTGTTTTCTTAGGTGTCTTGAAAGTCTGGGGACAAGTAGGATTCAAGTAGGCTTAGGAAATCAATGGGAGTTTAGCACCAAACTTATGTAGACTCTCTCCAAAATCCCAGGGGAGGCTGAGCTGCAAAGCATGACTCTCTGAAAGCAGTAATTATTCCAGAGCAACACACTTTTATTTCAGCCAACAATGCCATCATGGGGATTTCCTAACCTATCTCAGACCTCCATGCAAAGATGTAAGTGACACTGGCTAGGACACCCAGGGACATCACTCCATAGTTGCTTTGCTTTCCAGTGACTCCATTCACATTGCATAATGGTTTCTCACAGCAAGAAACCCTCTCATAGGTTTGGGTTTGTTGCTGACTTGTTTTTGGACACGTTGGAGAACACATCTTGGAGATGACATATTTAGGCTTGTTGGGCTCTAATGCAAAAGAGAAGGAAAAAAATAAGAAAAGAAAAAGAAAAAGTAGAATGTAAGAATCATTGTTAAAAGATTTCCCTGGCTACATCTGCATTGGTGAATAAAAGAAGGCCAGGGACTAGTCCCCAAGGCAAATGGGACTAGCTCGAAAAGAAAAAGAAAAAGTAGAATGTAAGAATCATTGTTAAAAGATTTCCCTGGCTACATCTGCATTGGTGAATAAAAGAAGGCCAGGGACTAGTCCCTAAGGCAAATATGTCCTGTGCTAAGGACTAGCAACAGTCTGGCCATGTCCACACTGCTGCAACATGATACTGGTCTTCTCTAGGTTCCATGTTTCATCTGTCCCTAAAGTGGAATTAGCATGTATGGGTGGCTTTCAGTTCAAGCTGCCTGAAGCGATGCCCAGCCTGGGTCACTACCCACCATGACAGTTTTCCTACAGCATAAAACCAGGGGGAATGTTTTGTATGACCTGAGATTTGGTCTGAGAGCACATGGAGGTATCTGAAGGTGAAGAACCCCAAGGACAGACCTGAAGGACTGTGCGTGTCACAGGGAGTTCTATATGTGTATCTTTAGCATTTCCCCAACTCCTCATCACAATATCAAGTATGAACTGACACTGCAGTGACCACAATAGAGAGCAACATGGTGTTTCCTAATGGTGATCAAAAGGCTATTGTTTCCACACATGGCCATGGTTGGGATGAAAGTCCATTCCTGGAACTGCTCTTCTATGGCACAAACAAGGTATTGTTCAGAAACGTACCTGTTCCACTGTTGTTACGAACAGTCACGCAGTATTTGTCTTCCTTTGTGCACATGGAAATGGTCAAACAGTTCTTGTTGGACTCCTGTTCTTGGCACACGTAGCACATAAGTGGGTAAGCTAGGAGGAAAAAAAAACAAAAGAAACCAAAACAAACATATTACATGGTTTAAGAACCACAATATCTACAATCTAGATACCTCCATTTTCCTGGTTATAACCTGATGAATGCTTGTGCATGAATGACCAGTGACTTTATCCCTTGACCCGTGGCAGCAATGTTAAATCCCTCTCTGTCTCATGTGTTTCAGACTGTGAAGAGTTATTGATCTGTTTGCAATCTCTGGCAGCAGTAGATGTGAGTGGAATTCAAGGATTTGGGGTCTTTTATGATGGAGATTATTACTAAGAAATAGCTTCTCTGTCCTGAGAGCTCTACCACGTGAATTGCCAATTTACTTGCTCAGTCGCTTCTCCTGGGCAAGCCTAGGAAGGGCTTCCAGGGAGAACTTAGAATCATAGCATCATCAAATGGTTTGGGTTGGAAGGGACCTTTCAAGGTCATCTAGTCTAACATCCCTGCATTGTGCAGGGACATCTTTCACTAGATCAGGTTGCTCAGAGCTCTGTCCAGCCTGACCTTGAATGTGGCTTCTACCACCTCTCTGGGCAACCTCTTCCAGTGTTTCACCACCCTCATTGGAAAACATTTCTTCCTTATATCTAGTCTAAATCTCTTCTTTTTTAGTTTAAAACCATCACCCCTTGTCCTATGGCTACAAACCCTGATAAAAAGTTTGTCCTCACCTTTCTTATAAACCCCCTGTAAGTATTGAAAGGCCACAATAAGGTCTCCCCAGAGACTTCTCCAGACTGAACAACTCCAACTCAGCCTTTCTTCACAGCAGAGCTGTTCCATCCCTCTCATAATTTTTATGTCCTTCCTCTGGACCTGCTCCAACAGGTCCATGTCTTTCCTGTGCTGGAAAGACTCCAGAGCTGGATGCAGCACTGCAGGTGGGGTCCCATCAGAACAGAGTAGAGGGGTAGAATCCTGTCCCTCAACCTGCTGGCCACGCTTCTTTTGATGTAGCCCAGGATATGGTTGGCCTTTTGGTTGGGCTGCAAGCGCACATTTCTGGCTCATGTCCAACTTTTTTCCACAAGCATGCCTGGAGCATTTTGAGGAGGTGGACAATGCCCAGTGTCCTATTTCTGTTTCACTTGGCTTGGAGACTACTGTCACGTATCCTTTCTTGTGGTTGAATGCCACTAACTCACTGGCCTAACCTCAGTCCTAGGAAGTCTGATGAGAGTAGTCAGATTCTCTGTCGAACTTCTGCATACTACCGTAAGATAGACAATAAATGGGAAGTCTTAACCAAAACTATGGCTGCATTGGGTTTGGGGGAGGGAGCAGCGTTTTTGGTACTGGGGCGAGGGGCCACCTTGTGATAAGTTTTAAGGCTACCCTGGATCCAAGGTGTACCCCCCCAGCCCAGGCTGAGCCAATTAGCAATAGAAAAACACCTCTGTGAATCCATATTTGTGAGGGGAAGGACTGTCCTGAAAAGAAGAAGGTAGAGAGAACCTGGAGGAGAGGCCATTGACTTGAACAAAAGATGACCATCAGCCTAAACAAAGAGAGAGCTTCAGGAGGAAGGAGGAGGAGGGGAGGACAGAACCTCAGACACCCAGTTCAACTGCATGGAGTAGGAGAAGGCAAAGGAGATCCCTGCAGCCCATGGAGGTTCAACGGTGGAGCAGAGACCCACGTGTAGGCCACAGAGGAGTCCACACTGGAGCAGAAAGCTGGGGCCAAGGGCAGGTGCAACTGTATTGAGACCCCAGGAACACTCAATGCCAGAGTGGTGGTGGACCC